TGTGGTCACGGTTAGTAGAAAGGACTTCAGTTACTTCCAATGAAGAACGCGATTCCCTAGAAGCTGCACTACGTCCGCTAGCAAATTCAATGAAGGCAAAGGGATCACTTTTTCTCACAACCTTACCAGAAGAATTAGATAACATAATAGATAATCTTAAAACTAAACAAAACTTAACATATGATGATATATGCTCACGATTATTAGAATTGTCTACAAAAACTAATACTATAGCTGAAGATGAACAAGCATTCTTGGGAAGAAATAAAACTTTTAGAAGATATAATACAAAAGAATGCACGTATTGTAAAGATAAGAAAAAATGGTATAAAGGACATACAATAATAAACTGCCGAAATAAAAAAGAAGATGAAAAAACAAATAATACAGTATGGGATTCAGAAGATGACGAGCATGCCTATCCAGCATTTACAACCAGTTCTAAATCAAACAGATGGATATTTGATACAGGTGCAACTTCTCATATGTCTGGAAATAAAGATGCATTTTGTAATCTTCGTCCCTACAACAGTTTCATTCGACTGGGTAATGATAAAAAGATTGAAGTTACTCATATCGGAGAAGTTAAACTTAAAGCTATATTACCTGATGGTTCAACTCTGAATGTCAGATTACACAATGTCTTGTATGCTCCAGAATTAAAGTGTTCACTGATGTCTTGGGAAACTATCAGAACAAATGGAGAAACAATGAAAGGTGATAAAGATATAACATTATGGAAAAATTTACGTATGATTGGGTGGATTGTATCTCAATTAAAAGAAAATGTTTTCCAGGAAGCTGAGCTGCAATCATCTAATTTTAGTAATGCCTCAGAAAATATAACTAGTTGGCATAGACGATTGGGACATCTTCCTATAAGTTCCTTCCGAGATCTTAAGTGCGCAGTAGCTGATGCTAATGTTATTTCGAATATTAAATCCATCATAATAGACTGTAAAGCATGTGAACTTTCCAAAATGACTAGAAGAATAACAAGAGAGCCTGGAAATGTGTGTCAATACTTGCTAGAAAAAATTCACTCTGATATATGTGGACCATTCTCAACGAAATCAATAGGTGGAAGTCTATACTACATCTCATTCATTGATGAATATTCCCGTTACACAGAGATTAATTTTTTAAAACAAAAAAGTGATGCGCTAGAAGCAATAAAAGAGTATGTACAAAAGGTCGAAAAGCAAACAGGGAGAAACATTAAAATTTTCAAATCCGATAATGGAGGTGAATATAAATCTAGAACTACAATTATTCTTTAAGTCACGCGGTATAGAACATGAAAATTCTATACCATATATACATGAAACGAATGGATTAGCAGAGAGACTAAATAGAACTGTAACTACAATGTCTAGAACCAATCTAATTGATTCTGATTTGCCCTTGACATTATGGGCAGAATCGGTAGCACACTCGGTATATATAAAAAATAGAATTCCTCACGCATTCAATAAAAAAACTCCCTTTGAAATGTTTTTTGGAATGAAACCAAAGATAGGTCATCTACAATACTTCGGCCAAAAGGCCTATGTAAATATCCCTTCGGCAACTCAAAAGCCAGGAAGCAAACTGTATCCTAGAGCCTACAAATCATTTCTAATCGGATTTGGCAAAAAAGCAGGCTGGTACCGGTTTTGGAATGGTAAAACTATAATTGTGTCGAAAGACTTTAAGTTAATCCCTCAAGAAGGTCAAGAAGGAGTAATATTTATATCACCATTAGAAAGAAAGGAACTAAACAATACCCCTGTACAAAATCCTAATGAAAATAGTGGAGAGACTGATCAAAGTGAAAATAAAGAAATTCAATTTAATTTGTCATCAACACCCTATGAGGAACCAGACTTAGTACCAAATTCTACGCCATCAACATCCAGTAAAGAACCAGATTTAACACCAAATTATGTATCCTTCAGACGCAGCGCAAGAGAAAGTAAACCGCCTATTCGCTATACAGAGGAATTTTGTAACTTAGCTTTAGATGAACCACTTTCATATATAGATGCTGTTAGAGGACCTGAATCAGATTTATGGATAGCTGCCATCAATGATGAACTCGAGTCAATGAAGAAAAATAATGTTTGGGAGATTATTGAAATGCCTCCTGGAGAAAGAACCATTGGATGTAAATGGGTTTTTAAGAAAAAGCTAGGAGATAATGGGAAAATCTCCAAATATAAGGCAAGACTAGTAGCACAAGGGTATAGTCAAATACACGGTATTGATTTTGAGGATACTTTTGCTCCCGTAGTGCGCTACGAGACAGTTAGAATTTTACTAGCACATGCAGTTAACAAACAAATGGTTGCCAGACAGCTAGACATAAAGACTGCATTTCTCAACGGCGACATAGACTTTCAAATCTATATGAAATTACCAGAAGGTTTGAGTGAGGAACAAGGGAGAGTATGTCTTCTAAAAAGAAGTATTTATGGATTAAAGCAGGCCCCACGTCAATGGAATCATAGGCTAGTATCAGTTCTTAAAGGCATTAATCTCCACCAATCAGTTGCAGATCCATGTTTATTTGTATCATCGGATTATCAACTGGCTCTAGCAATATATGTAGATGCTATATTATTATTAGGAAGTACCGAAGAAAGGATACGCAAAATCGAAAATGCTCTACAAAATAATTTTGAAGTCACTTTTCTTGGTATACCAAAATTTTTATTATCGTTACAAATTGAATGGGGCCCAACTTATGTATATATACATCAACAACAGTATATTCTTAAATTACTGGAGAAGTATAAAATGTCTAACTGCAATCCTACATCTACGCCAATGGATCCAGGCTGCAAGCCACAAAAAGCAAAAGAAGGTGATTTGAGAACCGATAAAAAATGTTACCAATCAAAAATTGGAAGTCTTCTTTACCTCGCTACAGGAACAAGGCCAGATATAACGTTTGCAGTTAATATATTATCACAATTTTGTGTAGATCCTACGGTTATTCATGATAATATGATTCAACATCTCTTACGTTATCTCAGAGGATCCGTAAATCAAAAACTTATATACAAATACACAATTTCACCATCAATATCAATGTTTAGTGATGCTTCTTATGCAAGTTGCATTGATGAAAGGCGATCGTATAGTGGATATATGGGTTTTTATGGATTGGCTCCTGTATCTTGGACTACTAAGAAACAGCAATCTGTGGCAGTAAGCACAACAGAGTCTGAATATATGGCACTAAGCATAGCTTGTAGACAAGCTATTTGGATGCAATATATCATAAAAGATCTTCTTGGTCAAACCAATACACTATTACTTTGTGATAACCAGGCCGCAATACATATTTCTGAAAATCCAGCTCTTCATCAACGAAGCAAGCATATAGATATTCAGTATCATTATGTTAGGGAACGCGTTATATCGAAAGATGTTAACATCGAATATATTCAATCAAAGGAAAATATTTCAGATATGTTAACAAAGCCTTTATCAAGAGATTCCTTAAATTATTTATGTGCAAAAATAATGGAGAATACACACTGAGGGAGAGTGTTGAAATTTCCCAGTGTAATTCTTAATTATTATTAACTTCACTCTGTATATTGAATGTGTTTGCTAGATTTTAATATGATGTCTTTGCTAGATTTTAATATGATGTCTTTGTTTTTGACAGTGATTTGAAACTATTTTTTGATTATTAAATATATGTTTGTCAAAGTCTCTTAAGTTATTACCTCAGTTAAATTCAGAGTTAGTTCCTTATACAATTGGTCAAGATTTGATGATCTATGAGAAAATTAAAAATCTCAAATCTTAAGAGCGTTTGCACGATTTTAAAGTCAGTTTTTTAAAATTACTTTTATTTTAATACATTTTGAACAAAAATTCAATAAAGGATTTTAAAGGGAAGAGATCAGACAACAGATCGTCTCGCCAGGATTGTTCTGAGGACAAATTGAATGTTAACAAGGCGTATCTATTCTGTCTGATATAGTTGGTAAATGTGGACCATAAATAGCTGAATAGAAAAATAATCATAAAAATCTGTCATAATTTTAAGGAGATTTTTTTTACTATTTAAAATGTTTGTAAGAGAATAATTTAATTTCTTTCAAATTTATTTAAGTTCAATAATCTTAGAATTGAGACAAACCATCTATTATTATCTAGATAATATCCATAATGGCGACATTTATTGTTAAAATCTCATTGCAAATTCTTCTAACCATTTTCTAACATCTACGTCAATATTATATCCCATCCCAGTAAGTTATTCCTACAACATATCAGCCGCTTTGAAAATGATGGCTTTTCCTGAATTTGACACTTCATTACGGTGACGCTACACCCGGAAAATGCATCGCATCCTTCCTGAAGTTATCCTTCGCTACCGGTAAGGCCTTCGCTTTTATGTAAGAAAAGTGGTATTTTATTTGACGTTTGGCATTAGCATTTTAGTATTCCGCTCTCAATAGTCCTCGGTAAAATATGGAAAATAAAGATTTTTAGTTGGGCAACGATTTATTTTCGAGGATATTCTTCAATTCGACTTCAAAGTGTAAAATTTCTATATTCTTACTATGTTTAGATTTCGTACGAGCATGTAATAGTAATTTATGTTACAGGTCGTGAAGTGAATTATTAAAATACGGTCCACAACTTTTAATACAAATTTAATTGCCTTAATATGAGCACTTTAACTGCCATGTGTATCCTTAATTATACAAAGTGACTTATCTCAGGGCGCTACGTGTATATTCTAGTACATACATACAATATGTAATCACCAAAGAAGTACAGAGGGTAGAATGTTAAGGTACCGTCTGCGCATCCATCACGAGTGTAGAAATTGTGTATGGTTCAACCTTCCACTCTTACACACGGAAATGACAAGGAAAGGTTGCCCTAAATGTTTTAAAAATACTGTCTGAGAATCCACTTGAATGGGTAAATCAAACAAATATAATAATCGAGTTTTAACGGTGACTCTTAATTCTGTAGCTGGAGTTGAGAACATGACAAAAAATGGCTACAAACTCAAGAAAAACAGGATTTTTGTTAATTTTGATCTAACCACCAAAGAACAAGAAAGGTATAAGTGTACATGTTGAGCTAAAAACCCGCAAAGATAATGGAGATAATGTTGTCATTAGATATCATTATCGAATTCTACGTAAAAAACTCAAAGTAGGGCCTTCTCCTGGTGCAAATAAACCCAAGTTTTACTCAAAACATAATTTTGATGCTTTTTATCATAATAAACATGAATTAAGAACTAAATTAAATGTTTTTTAATCAAATATATCTGTAATCATCATCATATTGACTGAAACATGGCTGACCAGTGATATCAGTGATTGCGAGTTAGGATTGTTCAATTATATTATTTACCGATGTAATAGACGCCAAAATAAAAGTAATGCTTTAAGAGGTGGTGGTGTGCTCATCGCTGTATTGAAAACTCGCTCTGACTCCATGCTAGATACCCCTAGTGATATTGAACAACTTTTTGTTAAAATTGGATCAGGTTCTGATGCAATAATCATCGCTGCAATCTATATACTATCTCGTTCTTCAATAAATAAGTACCAGTGTTTCATTTCAACAGTAAATGTCATTATTGAAAATCCTAAAGGATCTGTTTGGCTTTGTGGAGTCCTCAATATGCTCCTGATCAACCGAGGAATACTGCTCAGAACTTACAGTGACAGTGGTGGAACAAAATCATATGGGACATATGGTCACCTTAATGGGTGATACCTGTGCATTTCACAATTTATATCAGGTGAATAAAGTTCCTAATAATACTGACAGAATACTAGATCTTATATTATCTACAGATGAAAATACTATAGTGACCTTGAGCGATAAAGCATTGGTTCAAGCTGATGGTTACCATCCTTCTTTGAGCTTCCAGATTGTGAACTCTTTGAATCATTCTAATATGATCGGTTCCCAGAGACATTTTTTATTATGATTCTAGGTCGGCTGATTTATCTCTGTTGAACGATTTTTCAGGTCAGGTAAATAGGGATGTTTTTTATTACATCACTAAGCGAATGATATGGTTAATATTTTTTAAAATATTCTCTATTTTTTATCCATGCTATAATACCACAGCAAAAGCATCCATGAGAAAATTTCCATTATGGTTCTCCCCAGAATTAAAGCAGCTGACAGTATTGAAAAAACAAGCTCACAAAAAATTTAAAAGTTCAGGATTACAAAGCGATTATGTTAACTATAGTAAATTGCGTTCTGATTGTAAAATTTTATCAAAAAAGTGCTATCAACAGTTTATTGTAAATTCTGAGTCTTCTTTAACAAACCATAGAAACATAAAACAGCTTTGGAATTTTTTTAAGAGTAAGCGAAACGGGAATGATTTCATGATAGTGAAGGTCATTTGAGACCAGATATACCTGATCTTTTTGCAGAATACTTTCACTCATTGTATACTGATGAGAATATTGATCATCAAAGTAAACCGTCACTTAATCACGTTTCTATAATTTAGTATGTTATTCATATATCAACCAATTATGAAGAGATGGCTAGTATTGACATTACCAAGGGACCAAATCTTGATAGTATTCCCCTTTCTGTTCTCAGATTTTGTAGTTTTGTTCTCTCGCAACCACTTCACGTTATATTTGATAAGTCTCTTGATTCGGGTATATTCCCAGATTTCTGGAAAGTGAGCTACCTTACACCTATTTTCAAGTCTGGTAACAGAGCAGACATATCCAACTATAGACCCATCTGTTATCTTAGTTCCCTTTCAAAGTTGTTTGAAAAGCTAGTAGCTGATTACTTAAGATATAAATTAAGTTTATCAATAATAAAAGAGCAATTTGAGTTCCTTAGCTATCTCTGTCGGACGTCTTGGATGGAGGTGGTAAGGTGTATGCCATACACACAGAGTTTTCCAAGGCGTTCGACAAGGTCAATTATAAACTTTTGTTATATAAACTGGAGACTGCTGGGATCATGAGAACATTATTGCAATGGCTGCAGAGTTATTTATCTGAAATATTCCAAACTGGTAAATTAAATAATTACAGACCAAAAAACATTCCCAATCCTCCTGGAGTCCCCCAAGGGTCCCATTTGGGACCTTTGTTATTATTAATATCTATAAATGAATTCTCAGAATATGTCAAGTTTGCCAAATTTTTATGCTTTGCTGATGACCTAAAGTGCTACCTAGCAGTTTCATCTCTTGAGGATTGTCTCAAACTTCATTTTGATTTGGCTAGGTTTGATAAGTGGTGTGCGAATAATGCTATGGACCTAAACATCACTAAGTGTCACTCGATATTCTTTACAAGGAAGATTAACAGGATTGATTATCAATATACTATCAAGGGTACACCAGTGTCCCAAGTTGCATCCATTCGAGATCTCATTTGTCAATCACATTGACACAATAGTACCCAGAGTACGTGGTATACTTGAGTTTATAAAGAGAAACACATCAGACTTTACAAGTACTAATGCTACCAGGTAATTGTACTGTAGTCTTGTTAGGCCTCTGCAAAAATATTGCTCTTTAGTCTGGAACCCCCAGTATACTTGTCACATTCATAGATTAAAACAGGTTCAGAGAAAATTTTTTTGTTACTTAGCATTTGAATCAAATATTCTACGGATAGATGACTATTCCTATTATTTTGCGGCACTGCAAAAGACATTCTTCTTACCAACTTTGAGAATAAAAAGAGATCAGGCAGATCTGAAATTATTTCTTAAGCTCATTAATTATATAGTTGACTGCCCTACTAAAACCACAACATCAATAAATAGTTTTCATCAGCTCTACATGAGAAATAATACTGTCCGCTAATGCCTGTGCTGAATTTTTTAATTCAAGCTGAAAAAAGTCCTGTGCATTCAGATCAGATGACCTGCCACTCAATGTGACTTAAATTCCCTAGTCCTAATATTAGTTGTTTCGATTTTGTACATGTTAATATATTTATTTTTGTTGTTAGTTTATTAGTTTATCATTGTTATGTCATATTATTTAGATTTACTCTATTTGAGTTTTTTTTTGTTTTTATTTGTAACTTTGTACTGAAAGTGGTCAAGGCCCGTGAATAAACAAATAAATAAATAGGGCACAGTAAATTCCAGGCTTGGCTCTGTTCAGCCATCATGTTCATGCTCAGCTTTGTTTGGATTAATAAGTTATGTTATATAATTTAAGTTCTACTGCTTCATTGTAATTTGGTACAAAATCTCAAATTGAATCAGTCCAATAAGTAAGCTTATGCAGACAGAAGAATATGACTTACCGTCTACACAAGAAATCTTGAAAAATTGTACAGATTTTGTTAATGATCTTATATCCGACACGACCTCTAATGAAATGGTTTGCGATACTCGAGAACTCGACGATGACATACCGGCTAATTTTGAGATTACCCAGCCACGTCATTGAGTTGGAAAGTTAATTTTAACTATAGAATAACTATAGAAGATCCTACTTTGAAATATAAGGCAGATGTTTATTTGTTTTGCATTAGACCGAGGTATCAACGCACTTAAATCCAGGTTTCATTTGATCAGTACACACAGCAACTATGTATTTTCAGTTTGTATACAATATTTATGATTTAAAAGATACCCTTTAAAACGACTTACTAAAGTATTGTAAAGATCCAGAAATAGTGTTAACTGATGGGAATTCATCAGATATAAATGCCCTTGTATGCGTTCGATAGTTGATACTGTATATCATAATCTTTCAATTAAATTTAATTATTTTAATGGAAAGCCTGTTAGAATAAAGAAATTCGGATCTGGAGCTGATAAAACTTTCGGAAAATTCAATCAGATCTCAGTCGTTAAAATTTAAAAAACACTTAAAGTTTTTTACTTTTTCAATTACACCACTCATTCCGTACACACAATCGATGTTTAATTGATAAACGCAAGCGGAAATGAGAATAAAAAGAAACGAAAAAAAAAACAAAATAAAAAAGAAAAAAGAAGGCATATGAACGGTTAAAGCTTGCAATTGACTTTCCGAAGTCATGATAAACTCGAAAAAGTAATAAAACGCCCGACAATAGCGCTCTTTTGGACGCGCGCGTAATTTAATTTTTCACTGACAATTTATTTCAAAAATGTAATTTAAATCAATCAAAAAACCACGACATACTTGCAATTTTCATTGTGTTTTCCAATGCACTTCCAATGACAGCTTTTTCAACGCGAATTCATCGATAAATTGTCGAACTGATGAATTTATCAAAATGCAATTTATTCGATTATGAAGTGCATTTTCGATTTGGCGCGATATTTTGCAGAAGTACCTTAATTGAAAATTCAAAAACTTCTTTTAAAGGTATGAATAGAAGGCAGAACTCGATCAAACGGAAAAGTTTTATTTTGTAATTTTTATTAACAGAAACTAAACTAATTATATGTTATGTTGTAACGATATACAGTGTGTAACAGCAAAATAAAATAAATTCAGTAGCTTAATTACATATTTATAAAAATTTCCGGAACAAGTCAATTTTATAATATAAAATGACATTCGGCAACGTGAAAATTTCACCCTTACCCTTAAGCCCCTTTGAGTGACAGTTGCAACTCCCAAATTTGTAAATAGGAAGTAATAATAGGATTGTGATACCTCATTCGAAAGGTTTCTTCATTTTTACTGTCCTATCTGTATACAGATATAAGGAAAGTATAGGAATCATGATTTTTTTCGACCTCGAGTTTTCGACGGATTTTTACGTTTTGAGGTCCCCTGAATCCGTTTTGACTATTTTCGCGATGATGTGTGTGTGTGTGTGTGTGTGTGTGTGTGTGTGTGTGTGTGTGTGTGTGTGTGTGTGTGTGTGTGTGTGTGTGTGTGTGTGTGTGTGTGTGTGTGTGTGTGTGTGTGTGTGTGTGTGTGTGTGGTGTGTGTGGTGTGTGTGGTGTGTGGTGTGTGTGTGGTGTGTGTGTGTGTGTGTGTGTGTGTGTGTGTGTGTGTGTGTGTGTGTGTGTGTGTGTGTGTGTGTGTGTGTGTGTGTGTGTGTGTGTGTGTGTGTGTGTGTGTGTGTGTGTGTGTGTGTGTGTGTGTGTGTGTGTGTGTGTGTGTGTGTGTGTGTGTGTGTGTGTGTGTGTGTGTGTGTGTGTGTGTGTGTGTGTGTGTGTGTGTGTGTGTGTGTGTGTGTGTGTGTGTGTGTGTGTGTGTGTGTGTGTGTGTGTGTGTGTGTGTGTGTGTGTGTGTGTGTGTGTGTGTGTGTGTGTGTGTGTGTGTGTGTGTGTGTGTGTATGTGTGTGTGTGTGTGTGTGTGTGTGTGTGTGTGTGTGTGTGTGTGTGTGTGTGTGTGTGTGTGTGTGTGTGTGTGTGTGTGTGTGTGTGTGTGTGTGTGTGTGTGTGTGTGTGTGGTGTGTGTGGTGTGTGGTGTGTGTGTGGTGTGTGTGTGTGTGTGTGTGTGTGTGTGTGTGTGTGTGTGTGTGTGTGTGTGTGTGTGTGTGTGTGTGTGTGTGTGTGTGTGTGTGTGTGTGTGTGTGTGTGTGTGTGTGTGTGTGTGTGTGTGTGTGTGTGTGTGTGTGTGTGTGTGTGTGTGTGTGTGTGTGTGTGTGTGTGTGTGTGTGTGTGTGTGTGTGTGTGTGTGTGTGTGTGTGTGTGTGTGTGTGTGTGTGTGTGTGTGTGTGTGTGTGTGTGTGTGTGTGTGTGTGTGTGTGTGTGTGTGTGTGTGTGTGTGTGTGTGTGTGTGTGTGTGTGTGTGTGTGTGTGTGTGTGTGTGTGTGTGTGTGTGTGTGTGTGTGTGTGTGTGTGTGTGTGTGTGTGTGTGTGTGTGTGTGTGTGTGTGTGTGTGTGTGTGTGTGTGTGTGTGTGTGTGTGTGTGTGTGTGTGTGTGTGTGTGTGTGTGTGTGTGTGTGTGTGTGTGTGTGTGTGTGTGTGTGTGTGTGTGTGTGTGTGTGTGTGTGTGTGTGTGTGTGTGTGTGTGTGTGTGTGTGTGTGTGTGTGTGTGTGTGTGTGTGTGTGTGTGTGTGTGTGTGTGTGTGTGTGTGTGTGTGTGTGTGTGTGTGTGTGTGTGTGTGTGTGTGTGTGTGTGTGTGTGTGTGTGTGTGTGTGTGTGTGTGTGTGTGTGTGTGGGTTTGTCGGGAAATCACTGTGTGGCCATGCGCATAATTCATACTATAGTAGTGTGGCCATCCTGAATTGTGTGGCCATTTTTGGGACCCCACAAGTTAAATGCAGCTTTAACGCATTCTACACGTTATGCTGATTCGAATGGTACCTACTTTAATACATTGTCCCCAAAAGTGATGTTATAGGTTGTGCCAAAATGTGTGCTAATCGATGAGACGAGAGCAAACATTGTGTGGACAAAGTAGTTGATCAGCAAGTGCTGCCCTCTGTAACCTCTTCATTCGGCGAACTATTTTACACGGATTATAACCTACCTTACGGGACAAGTGCAAATATTTAAAAGTTTTGAATATGTTATTTTATTATATGGTACAGCGCGATGTTGCCGCTTCTGTAGTTGCTTGTAACTACTGAATATTGAATAAGTGTCTTGCGTATTTGAATAATGTACGCGTCGGCCCAGATACTTTTATTTATTATACAGGAAACAGAGAGTCGAAAAGACGCTTCTAAAACATCGAACTGTGCACTCGAAGATATACTTCTAAAAAAATATGTACTATGTGGGGAATGACCCTGCGGATGCAAATTCAGAAGGCTCCGTTAAATTAGCAATTACAAAACAGAATAAAAATATATTTTTCGATTATTTTGATTTATCGTAAAAAAACAATTTTTGGTGTTAAATCGCGATTGTGATGTTGTTTTTCAATATGACTTAGACCTAAACATCGGTAAAAAATAACCATCAGGGTTTAAATTAATATTTATTTAGCCTAATAATTTATATCAACACTACACATTTGTATATACTAAAAACAACTCCAAGAATATCGGTAAAGTTTTTTACCCAGAACTTCCCTCGATATAGAAATTGTTAAAACAAGGAGCTGTTTAGCTGCTTTTAACATGGTCTAGTTACATAAACTAAATGAATGTTTTTTATTATTTCCATTCAAAGGAGCCCTTTTTCGATTAAGTATAATTTTTTCAACGCCATTTTGAATTTTTAAAAACTTATTTAGGATCTGTTTCTTTGACTCTTAAAATACTCAGCAAACCAATTTTAGTCGAAATCTGTCGACTTTGCTCCCCCTGCATATAACTGACAGAAAGTATAACCAGTTTTGAGACAAAAAGTAACCATACCGGTATACAAAATTTGAAGTTTTTCTATTAAGCCGTTTTTGAGCTATCGCGCCAACAGACAGACGACAGATAGACAGACCGACCGACGGAATGGGGAAACATGTTTTTCGCAATCTAGGGACCCTGAAACGTGAAAATCTGAAATCTCGGATAGTGCCTTTTTCACGATTACAATACTTCCCTTATATCGAGGGACACAAAAATAATAATAATAATAATAATAATACTTCGGAGTACTTACGTTATAAACTATATAATGATAAAAAAATGTATAAACCCTATATGGGTAACTTAACTAACTAAATTTTAGTTTAAAGAACACCCACCCTCGCAATAATAACCTATTATAAAATCCAGCCCTGCTTTTAAACAACTATACAATTTCTAGTACATTTTTGAAGTTTGCATTTGCAGCACACATTTTCGAATTGTACATTGGGACGAACACTTATTGTGGTCAATTTTGGATCAAGTAAATTATTTTCTTTCAACGGGGATGAGAATTTCTGGGTTTATTAAAATATTGCTCTTCAAGACAATCAATTGATACGCAGCTCTTATTATATGCTAATGAAATTCATCCTTAGTAGGCGGCAAATTCCTTATATTAGATTTACAGGTATGAAATAGACGAGCGCGTAATTTATTTAAATCACCTGTAAATAATGACCTAACATACAAAATGTTGAAAAATATATAGCCAAAATTAATTAAATTCTGGCCAACATTTTCAGGGTACTTAATGTGCTTTTAATTCACACACTGACCTTCGACGAACGATGCGCGATGGAAAAAGGTTGCGGCCGACGCGCATAAGCATTTCACAAAAAAAAATTGCTTCTCAGAAACCATAACCAATAGACAATTTTTGTTTTCACCAAAAACCACGCAATAAGAGATGTAAAAGAACACCAATCAGGTAGGTCGAATAAAAAAGATACCCGCTTCGGTGTGTTTTCGAAGACCCCACAATGTGGGTAATAGGTTTTGTTCATAGTTTCTTGTTCCCGACCGAAGGCGATCCTGTTTACAATGGAAAACTGAAAGTAGACTATAATAAAATAAAGCTGATGCGGTATCCCAACTGCAAGTTATGAAAATCAGAAATAGACAATAATTAACTAAATATAATAAAATTGAAACTTGTTAGGTTTCGACTAATTTTGTATTTTAAAAATATTACATGTTTCATTCATTTTCAGGTAAATTAGAATTGATTTATTCTTTTAAATAATACATCACCCCCAGCTGTTGCATTATTTAAATAATCTAGTTACCTTATTCTTGGGTACTGCACCTATATCGTTTTATTGTTGAAAATAGAAAAAAACTCTACGACTGTAATATTTAGTTATAGGGAATACTTTACAAAAGTAAAAGTATTTTGTAAGAAGTTTATGAAAATGATATTAGATACGGGGTGTTCAATTTGAAATAACCGAGAAAATCATGGTCGTGAGTTTTGGATGACCCTGTATATAAAATAAAAGATATCAAAAACATGATGAGTTGCAACAAAACTAGACTACTACTAAATTATTCTGGACTTGAGATATTAACCCTCAATTGTTGATTCTAAATAATATAGCGTGACGATTTCATAAGTGTGTGCAGTTGATTCTCTCTACACCGATAAATTTTATACTCCAATACTGTTCGAATAACTATGGAATTATAGTGATTTCTTTTTTAAAATTAAGTTAGTTTGTGTTGTCAAACTTACAGCTATCGGTGATACCGAAGGTACGTGCCCTCTTCTTAATCTAATTAGTTTAATTGATATCTGCCACGAGGCCCTTCAATCTAATTTTTCGAATACTAGTTTTTGTTGTTTATCTACTGTAGATGTGGGCAAACTGCACACCTAACTTATGCGTTATTTATTCCCAATCGTCCTGCAATGTCTGAGTGTGCTCATTGTCGTAAGAAAAAGAATAATGAAGATCTTGTTGGATGTGAAGGTCCCTGTGGTAACTGGTACCATTATTCTTGCCTTAAATTAACTGAAGCTGAGTATAAAATCTTAAACAAGTTGAAAAATCTGGTGTATATTTGCGATACTTGCTACAGAAAATGTGAAGTTCAAGAGAAAGTCAATGCAAAAGAATTAAAAGATGGCATTTTTAATATTGATGCTAATGTAAAAACCCTACATGATAACCTCTCGAGTGACAATCTTGTAAATTTAGTTAAAAAGGAGGTAGATGGATTATTCTCAAAATTCAATGATATGTTTACCATTTTGATGAATGATCTGCAACTCATGGTTGACAACAAGGTGAAAGTGCTCCAAGACGCTGTTCAGAATACCGTTAAATCTACTTCAGATGCAAACGCAGATAATATTAAAACATGTGTTACAAATATGTTTGAATCCATTAGTAAAAACGATGTCCCAAATCAAAGCAAAAGGTCATATGCTAATATTGCTACTGGTTCAACCTTCATCGTAACTCCAAAGAATTCTGAACAAGATTCGATCAGCACCAAATCGGAGATCCTCAATAAAATTAATCCAGTGAAAGAAGATTTAAAAGTTACTCAAGTAAGAAATTTAAGCAAAGGTGGTATTGCTATACGATGTGAAAACGAAAACTTCAAGCAATTAGTTAATACAAAATTAGATAATAAGTACTCTGTGAAGGAAGTTACCCCTCTAAACCCTAGAGTTAGAATTGTTGGTTTGTCTGAAAAGTATGATGATGAAGTTTTTCTAAATTATCTTAAAGTTCAAAATAAATCAGTAGTATCCGTGGACAGCAAATGTGATTTAATATCAATACAATCTCTGAGAAATAATAATAAAGTTTTTCAAGCTGTTGTACAGGTTGATATAAGTACTTATGAAAAACTAATTGAAGTTGATCATGTTTTTGTCGGTTATGATTCGTGCAGTGTCTTTGAGGCTATTGATTTACGGCGTTGTTATAAATGTTGCAATTTTCATCACTTTGCTAAAAATTGTTCTGCTACTCGCTACACATGTCCGAAGTGCTCTCTGAATCACAAAATACAGGACTGTAATGAGCAAAATTTTACCTGTGCTAATTGTGTCAATTATAATAAGCGTGAAGGGACTAAGAAAGTCAGTATTGATCATGCTGTCTGGGACAGAAATTGTTCGGTCTATATCAGTACCCTTAATTCCTTTAAGTCCTCAATCTTACATATAAAATAACAACCAAGGTACGGCTCGTGTGCAGGACAAACAGTCAATAGTAGTAGTATTAATAAGTCACTGTTCTCTTGTGAAAGGTCACTTAGTATTTATTACCAGAATTGTAGGAGCTTAGGAGGAAAAAGTGCAGATTTCTACATTAACTACGGATCTATTACACCACAGTACGATGTTTTAATACTAACCGAAACTTGGTTAAACAATACGTTCCTTGACTCCGAAATTTTTAATTTAGATTTATATAATGTATGTCGCAAAGATCGAGACCATAATTTCATGAATACTAGCAAAGGTGGGGGAGTTTTACTCGCTACCAACAAACGAATAACTCTATCAACGATTGATATATATTCAGACTGTCCCTCATTCTCTGAAATTAAACATATTGATATTCTAGTGTGCAGAGCAAAAATTTTTCATCTGATATCTTATATAATTGTTATCTATATTCCACCTCGTTCATCGGTTGCAGATTATGAAATTTTATTTGATTCCATTGAATCATTGCAATGTTTACACGATGCACCTATATTGATGATAGGGGATTTCAACATTGCAGAATACACCTTAAGTCAAACTTCCACCAGATTGCAATCGTTAAATAATCTTTGTAATTTTTTCGAGCTTACTCAATACAATAGCATTACTAACTGTGATGGGCGTCTGTTAGATTTAATTTTTTCAACTTATCCATGCTCGGCCCAAAAGGCAGTTGATGTTTTGGTATATCCAGAAGATAGATATCACCCCACGTTAGCAATCGATGTGAATTATAAAATAGGTACTAATAACACTCCAGTATTTAATGCATCCGCATACAACTATAAAAAAGGAAACTTTGTTGCCCTCTATAGAGACCTCTTATTGGTCGATTGGACATTTCTACATGGCCTTTCAAATGTTAACACAGCTCTGGGCTTGTTTTATGATAAATTATATAATATTCTTGATCAACACGTCCCAAAGAAGAAACCTTGTTATAAAACATACCCTATCTGGTTTACTGGTCCTTTAATTCACAAGTTAAATTTAAAAAATAAAGCTTGGAAGAAATACAAGAAAACGAACGGTGACGCTGATCTTAATGAATATAGACGCTTGAGGTCTGCTTTTAAGGCTGAAAATATGACTGCCCATAAAAACTATCTGGCTCATGTCGAAGCTGAACTCAAATCAAATCCAAAAAATTTTTGGTCATTCTACAATTCCAAAAAGAAACACAATTCACTACCAACCAACATGTGTTATAATGGCAACGACTTAGAAACCAGCGCCGCTATTGCATCTGCTTTTGCCGAATACTTTAGTGACTCATTCTTAGACAACCCTACAAATGTAAACCAGCCCTCCGTTGAAGTTATTTCACCTAACCATGCATTTATAATGCCCAAGATCTCCGAGGACGACGTAATTGAGTCAATTAAGCGTATCAAGACAAACATGACTATGGGTCCAGACAATGTTCCTGCTTTTCTTGTACGTGATGCATTGTTCGTTTTTGCTAAGCCCCTTAGTATAATTTTTAATCTAATAATAAATTCGTCTGTTTTTCCCGAGAAATGGAAAATTTCAAAAACTGTTCCAGTGTACAAAAAGGGCAACAGAAATGATATTACAAATTATAGACCAATTGCTATTATCTGCAATTTTAGTAAAGTATTCGAAATTACAGTTACCAAATTTCTCTATAGGCATATTGAAAATTCAATTTTACCTGAACAACATGGATTTGTTCGTGGGAGGTCTACTGTTACCAATCTAGCCATTAAAACTCAATTTATCAGCGAAATATTGGATCGCGGTGGGCAGGTAGATGTGATCTACACTGACTTTACGAAAGCATTCGATCGCCTTAGTCATCCCATTTTGTTATCAAAGTTAAATATGTTGAATTTATCTGATAATGTACTATCTCTCCTTAGCTCCTACTTAAGTAACCGTTCTCAGTATGTCCTTATTAGTGGCGTTAAGTCTCGCTTGATATCTCAAGTTTCTGGTGTACCCCAAGGTTCCATTTTAGGGCCTTTATGCTTTATAATCTTTATTAATGATATTTGTAAGAATATTAATGTACAATATTTACTCTACGCTGATGACTTGAAGCTTATTTCAATGATTAATAACAACAATGACTGTATCGTAATGCAAACCGATATAAACAAAATTCAAAACTGGTGTATAAATAATAAGCTCATGTTAAATCCTGCAAAATGCAACGTAATGTCATATACGCGAAAGAGTGACTGCATAAGATACGATTACAATATAGGAGGTGTCGTCCTCCAGAGACCTGACACGATTAAGGACCTCGGTGTTGTCTTCGATTCAAAACTTACATTTGTTAATCATTTGGCCATAACTGTCGCATCTTGTTATAAAGTTCTAGGTTCCATTCTACGATCTATCAAAGATTTTAATAATCTAGATACGTGCAAATTGTTATTCTGTGCCCTTGTTAGATCCAAGCTTGAATATGCCTCAATAATATGGTCCCCTAATTATAATGTGCACGTTTTAACTTTAGAAAAGGTTCAGCGACGTTTCCTTAAGAGTCTTCATTATTATTTTCATGGAACTTACCCTGAGAGGGGATACCCACAAGACCAGCTTTTAACAATGTTTGGAATGCAGAGCTTATTTCAACGAAGAATTATATCTTCAATTATTTTCATTTTTAAAATAATACACCATTTAATTAAATGCCCGGCTTTATGTGCTCAGCTTAACTTCCTAGTTCCAAGAATTAATTCCAGGTACAGCTGCACATTCATTCTTCCCACTCCCAGAACAAACTTATTATGTCAGTCTCCATTGTACCATATGCTGTCCACAGTTAATGACTCGAGTAAAGAAATTGATCTATTTTGTACTACCATCTCAAAGATTAAAAAACTTTATTCCTGATTTATATCCATATATTCCTAATTAAAATATTTAGTGTAATGTAATTTAGTGTAATTAAGTTTTTTATGTTTTTGTATCTAATTTCATCTTTATATATTAGTTGTTTCGCATGCGATATGTGTGAGTAACCTTTTTTCTCCACTGGAGTTTTTTTCAGATTACTCATACAATCTCATTTATAGTTTTACTTTAAAATTTGTTTTGCTTTTATTGTATTATTTACAAATATATGTTTATTAATGTTAAGTGCGCATTCTGTAATAGGCCTTGGCCGTTGAATGTAAGAATAAATAAATAAATAAAATAAAAAAAATAAATAAATCAGGATTTTCACATACAAGTGGCCATTTCTTTAAAAGTACCCTGTAGAACCTGATAAAACCCTATATTGCCGGAATGGAGAAAATGATTAAAATTCAAGATAACATATAGGGTGTTCTAGTAAAAAACATAATTTCTGTGACTTTATGAAATATCCTGTACATTACGAAATAATTTTAAAATGCGGAGCTGGGCTGTATCTATAATTTGTATTTAAAACTTTTTTCGTATCAAAACAGAGATATCAAACTCCGGAGTATAAGTTGATCTATATATATTATTAATATATAATAATTAATTATATTGTAAATGGAACTTTCCAAAGTTGTGTTCATTTTAATTAATCAACATCTTGTAGGTAATCGTAGTACTGACAAAGAAAAAAGAAGAACAAGTGAAATTAAACATAAATATCTAAAGTTCTGCTCTTTAAAATGTCGGACATAAAAATTTTAATATTGCAAAATACATACGTTTTTCTACAACCACAATTAGCTAATCTACGCACAGAATACAAAACGAAAAAGTATGCCGTTGTGTTCAACTGAACTATTATATTTCATAACCATTTTACTTGTAAGTAAACTGCATGACAATGAAATCTGTCAAATCTGTCAAACTAATTGTCATACATTATACAACTAGAAAACTGAAAATTCTCGATTATACGAGACGTATTGCCTGACGTTTTGTTAGGCAATACGTCGAGTTTTGAGAATTTTTAATTATCGAGTTGTATACAGATTGACTATATCACGAAATAAAAAAAAGTTATGGGGCAGAATCGAACCCTGGCCCACCGCGTTAAAAACAAAAGTTATACCGATCGATCACAGATCCTATATAAAAAAAGTTTCGTGCTCAAATTTCGTTCTCGTGCGATAATGACCAACATATCCACCCTTGTTGCAGAAACTACAATTGAAGCATGTTTTAAAATAAAAAAAAAACATTGGTCTATATCTGCTACCAGGGCTAATCAACGACGCCGGGAGTACGCTACTCCTAACTGGGAATTTTGAGGAACTCTCTGATGTCGCAACCATCAGAAATAGGTAACTTTAACAAACTCAACATCCATGTACTCAGGACCATCGGCTTTATGCCCCTTCCGAAGAACAGCATATCCTCACTATTCCTCGTACTAAATGATGTAGTACCTACGAGCTGTGGCTATTACGCAACTACTCTACTACGCTGTAATTATACGAGCTACAGTTTTCCCCATATAGTATGAACGACCTGATCATGCATCCAACTACTAACCTCGCTGGACCCTGCTTGACTTCGGATTTCGATAGACAATTAGTTGTCAACTTGATTAAGCTGGGCCCTTGCCTTGAAGTTAAACATACATCTCAAATTCAGCTATGTTTGAAATTTCGGACATTAAAATTTTCAAATGACTTATATTTTTAATTTCCTATCTGTATA